GTGTGTGTGTGTGTGTGTGTGTGTGTGTGTGTGTGTGTGTGTCTCTGTCAGTCCAGCTGGGCTATTGCCTGTCTCCTGGACTTGGTAGCTCCACCTAGACTGGCCTGTGCTTCCCAGGACACACGGGCAGCTCAAGAGCAGGAGTTAGAGTCCCTTCGGGAGCAGCTGGCAAGTGTGAACCACAACATTGAGGAGGTTGAAGCTGACATGAAGACCCTGGGAATGAACCTTATGCAGGTGAGGGGCTGGGAGAGGGACTTGGGCTGGATCAGGTCCCAAACTAGGGCCTTGAGAGATGCTCCGTAGAGGTGCATAGATGCCAGGCTTGTTGATGGAGGATGCTAGGGACCTCTGGTGTTATTGAAGGTTCGGGAGAACTTGTGAGGCAAAGAAAGATGTTGGATTGATGGCTTGGTGGACCTATAGGGGTTAGAGGCACATTTGGGTACCAGTCAGGCTTTGTTGGGGGACATAGCAGCTATGGGCATCAGTGGAGCAAGATGGGTCTGTATGGGCAGGGACTTGCAGGGCTTCTTGGGGCTTCTGGCTGTCGGTATGGAGCTGAAGATCCAGAGGCCTGGAGTAGGTAGAGGCCATGGGGTGCTCTGTAAGGCCTTGAGCTGGGCCAGGGCCATGATGGGCTCACTAGGATTGTGAGCTGTGTATATGACTGGGGGCTTGCCTGTGAGTATACCAGGTGGAAACCGAGTGTCGACAAAGTGAACTCAGCGTGGCTGAGCAGGAGCAGGCCCTACGCTTGAAGAGCAGGGCGGTGGAATTGCTGCCTGACGGGGCTGCCAACCTCGCCAAGCTGCAGGTGGGCTGGGGTTGGGGTTGGGCTGAGAAGGGCGGGGTGGATGGGTCCAGCCCGTTTTGACATACTCCCCGACTCCTGCCAGCATGTGGTGGAGAGTAGTGCCCAGCGGGTCATTCATCTCGCCAGTCAGTGGGAGAAACATCGAGTCCCGCTTCTTGCTGAGTACCGCCACCTCCGAAAACTCCAGGACTGTAGGGAGGTAGGTGGCAGAGTCCTGAGCGGAGATGTACTGCTTCCATTGGGGGCTGTCTCTGAGCTCTGCTCACTGCCTTCTGTCTATGGGTTCCTGGCAGCTGGAATCATCTCGACGGCTGGCAGAAATCCAGGAGCTGCACCAGAGTGTTCGAGCAGCTGCAGAAGAGGCTCGCAGGAAGGAGGAGGTCTATAAGCAGCTGGTGAGGCCGATTTTAGGGCCCCGGGTTGTCATGGTGGGTGAGGTGTGGGGCTTGGGCTCATGCCTGCCATGTTCCTGTCTAGGTGTCGGAGCTGGAGAGTCTGCCAAAAGATGTGTCCCGGCTGGCCTATACCCAGCGCATCCTGGAGATTGTGGGCAACATCCGGAAGCAGAAGGAAGAGATCACTAAGGTGTGCCACTGTGGCTCTGATGGGTGGGTCATGTGGGCAGACAGGAATAGGGTAGTTACACAGGGACTGTATGGTCTCTGATAGGTAGAGCTGCTTCAGCACCCCCCAGCATATAATAGTCACATACAGTCTACCCCAGCCACCCCAACACAGTGAGTGACACAGGCCCTGACTGGATGTAAGTACAGGCACATGAGTACCATCCCTGGCCAGCCACCATGCCCCCAGACATGGACTGATGGCTACCCTGGTTTCTGCCAGATCTTGTCGGACACAAAGGAACTTCAGAAGGAAATCAACTCTCTCTCTGGGAAGCTGGACCGGACATTTGCGGTGACTGATGAGCTGGTGTTCAAGGTATGAAGCAGGCTGGCCTGGGGGAGGGGAGGGGTGGGACTGGGCACTGGTGCCTGTGGCTTGGGCCTGGCTTTGCTCTGTGGAGGCTGGAGGTAAAGTGGTAGGTAGTAGAGGATGGCTCTGTAGGGGAATGGAGTAGTGGAAAAAGCGGGAATGTCTGGCTGACACGTTTGTGGTCCCTTCTGTCTTTTCAGGATGCTAAGAAGGATGATGCTGTTCGGAAAGCTTACAAATACCTAGCGGCCCTGCATGAGGTGAGGGGAGCCATGTTCCCGGTGGGCTGGCTGTGGAGGGCTAGCACAGATGCAAGCCTTGTATTCCTGTCTCCAGAATTGCAGTCAGCTCATCCAGACCATTGAGGACACAGGCACTATTATGAGGGAAGTTCGAGACCTTGAGGAGCAGGTGAGATCTGGGAAGGGGAATGGAGGCAGGCCAGAGGGTAGCTCCGTGAAAGCAGACAACTTACAGCTAGAGGCTCAGCCAGAGTGTCTGCTGTGCCTGGGACCTGGAGCTAGCCAGTTGTCTACTCTGGGCCCTGGCTTCTAGCTTGAGGCTCTTAATGCCCACCTCCCAGAACCCATGGCAGAAGCTGTGACTTTAGGCGGAGGGAAGGACATACACAATGGCCTGGTGATGGGAAGGGACAGGCCACTGTTCCAGGGGTGGGAGGAGCAGAGTAACGCAGTAGAGGGGCAGCCAGTAGGGGCTGGAAAATGGGCCCTGCATGCTAAAGATGTGTGCATCCTGTTGTCTTAGATTGAGACAGAGATGGGCAAGAAGACTCTGAGCAACCTGGAGAAGATCTGTGAGGACTACCGAGCCCTTCGCCAGGAGAATGCTGGCCTCTTGGGCCGGGTCCGGGAGGCCTAGAGCCCTGATGGAGGTCTCCTAGCCACAGGCACGAATTTGGGGGTGCTGGAGACAGTGCCCAAGCACTTGTTCCAGCACTGCCTTCTGTTTGGCATCTTAAACCCAGGTGCCTGCTTATCTGGTCCCATCTTTCTTTGATCAGGGTGATTGTCTAGCTTGGCCACGGTTTATTGGATGGGCACTGGGGGCCAGGGGGCTTGGATCCCAAATAAAAGAGAAATTCTTCTGTGGTCCACGCTGAGGCATCGATTGGGGCTTGGGGTCGGGGACTGGGGTCAGTGGCAAGTGAGACATGGGGTACATTTTGGTGAGTCAGTGTGTATTCATGGAGCTCAGGACATACAGTGGAGGGGGCTACATGTGTGTGCATGTGTGAGTTCTGACAAGCTGTGTCTGACTGTTGATTATTTGGGGGCATTGCATGAGGCTGTGTATGACCAGTTATGCCTGTGTGGTTTTCTGGGATGTAATCTGGAAGGTTCCAGTGCTGCTCTTGTGCAAGGGTCTGCTTATACACCTATATGTGATAGTGCCCATGGTTCCAGATGTTGTGCGTGAGGGCTTTGGGGTAGGAGTCAATAAGATTGCAGTCGTGTGAGACTGCAGGACCATGCAACTTTGAGGGCAGAAGAATGTACCAAGGCAGGCTCTTTGTGTTTTAGGGTTTGGGTTGAGTCCAGGGGACAGGATTATGACTGTGTGTGTCTGTGTCATTTTCCTGCTTGGGAGTGGCCAAGGCAGGCTGTATGTATGTATATGTATGTATGAGGGCTGTTTGGCTGGAAAGCCCATCTTGGGAATGGGTTGGGGATAGGGGCTGGGCTGGGATTGGTGTCCCTCAGCCTTACGGCAGAAGATACAATCCAGGAGGGCAGCTAGACCGGGAGCAGACAGGCAAGACGGTGGAAGCATCATTGCCTGGTCTCTGTAGATATGTCCGGGACTTGCCTCCTTGCCTCCACAGCCTAAGTTGCGTGTTTTGGCCCCTGTCCATCTTTCTTGTCTTGGTTTTGAGGTCAAGGGCAAGGGTTGGAGCACTTGCTGGGGCGTTGGCTCCTCTTCTTGCGAAACTCGAACTCATCTACGGTCCACACTGCTCCCTTCTCACTCTCCACTCGCACAAAGCACTTGTGCAAGCTCAGGTTGTGGCGGATGGCATTCTGTGGAAGGAAGACCAGGCCCCCGGGCGGGGAGGGGGTGGACAGTCATCCAGTGAGTTCAGCAGACCTCAGCCCTGACCTGCCCCTTCCCCACATGTTTAGCCCAAGGTTAACCACCCCTTGGAGCCATCCCAGCCCCCCCGGCTGTGTACGGAGGTGCTCACTTTCCAGGTGGCCGGGTGGTTTCTGAAGTAGGCAAACATGCATGTGAACCAGTGGTAGATTTCATTGAGTGTTCTCTGCTTCTCTGGAGCTTCCAGGATGGCCTGGAAGGTGGAGTCGGGTGGGGTGAGCATGCTTCCTCAGAATTGTGCACTCTCGGTGCAGAGGGACGCAGCAGGGTGGGAGGCAAGCAGCCCCGACCCCCAGCTGCCAGGCCTAGGCTGGCCCGCTTACCCATCGGATGAGGGTGGCGTAGGTGAAGGGCGGTCTCATGTTGTGGAACTTGAAATAGTCCATGTTGTGGAAGAACTCTGCAGAGGGTTGGGATAGATCAGGCCCCACGACCTCCTCACACCCACCTTTGTCTCCAAGGCCTGAAAGCCCCCCATTAGCACCAAGGGTGGAGGGGGTGGGTCTGTGATCACACACAGGTACTGTTTACTCAGTACCCGCCATCAGCTAACTCTTCCTTGCACCACTTTTCCCAAAATAACGCCCCCCCCCATTAAAAAGAAGTTGGGTAACGTGCACATCCAAGGCATGTAAGCAGTTCAAGTGGTGTAGCCGGTATGACACCAAAGAGTTGTGGTTCCTGGTAAATCCACAACCTAGGCCTGGCAGGTGGGAGTGGATTGGTGAGCTTGGAAGAATCCACCTGATTCCCCTTGAGGTAGGAAGAAGGGAGGGTTCCTTGGAATTCCTTAGCTAGGTCCCTCTCTCATGACCAAATGAAACAGCTGATGCCAGGTGGGTGGGGCATGGCTCCAATCCCCAAAAGACAGGGGCCCGGAGCTATGGATTTGTACCCACTGCAGGCTTCTAGGCCTAATAAACTCGGGTGCCCTTTCCTCCCAGCCGCTGGTGAGGGTGAGAGGGGAACGGGGAACTCCTTTGTACCTCCTGGCACCAATTGGTATTAGGAGCGTGGGGTCGTCAGATGGGGTGCAGAGTCCACTGACCTGGAAAGGTGCCGTTTCCATGGCTTCCCCAGAGGTGCCTCCGCACGGCAAACAGGCTGTCTGAGGGCTCCCGGGGAGCAGACCAGGCTGGGAGAACACTGCCCTGCGAGCTCGCAGCTACAATGCAGCAGGAGTTCTTGTCCACCGAGGCCTGGGCGGAGTTAGGAGAGGCTCGTGATTGAGAGGCTTAAGCTTTTCATTTCCTCTTATCCTTTCCAAAATGATTCTGTATTTGTATTATTAATTAAATTTGTTTCTGGACAATTTTGCACATGTATGCAATACGTACAGACCACTTCACCCTACTTCCTCCCTCTACTGCTTACCCGCTTCCTCCTCACAGATCTCTCTCTCATCCATGTCTATTTTGTTTAAAAAATATTAATTTTATTATTATTACTATTAGAGATGGGGTCTTACTATGTAGCCCTGGCTGGCCTGGAACTTACAGAAACTTACCTGCCTCTGCATCCTGAGTGTACCACCATGCCTTGTCTATTCATTTTATTTTTGTGTTACTTAATTATTTTTCTGAGATAGTCTCACTATATAAATCTGGCTGACCTGTACCTCCCATCTCCTAGCTCTACCTCTGGAGTTCGGGATTATAAGTGTGTGTCAACACTTGTAGCTTCTATTTTTATTTTATATTTTATTTTTTTAGACAGGGTCTCTCTGTGTAGTCCTGGCTGTCCTGGAGCCCACTCTGCAGACCTGGCTGGCTTCAAACTCACAGCGATCCACCTACCTCTTCCTCCCAAGTTCTGGGATTAAAGGCGTGTGCCACCATACTGGCTTTCCATTTTACTTTTAAAAATGTTTGCTTGTTTCTTTATTTACTTATGCAGGGTCTCACATTGTAATACAGGCTAGTCTGCAATTTACTATGTAGCACAGGATGGCCTCAAATTTGGGGCACGCGCTTGCTGTATCAACCTCCCAAGTGCTGAGATTTCTGCCTAACCACCACTCAGTTTCCATTTTATTTTTACTTTAAAAATGTTTTTCTGAGGCAGGGTCTCATGTAGCCCATGCTGGCCCTCTAGCTTGTTATGTATGGTAGGATGACCTTGACACTCGTGATCCTCTTGCCTCCACCTCTGGAGTGCTGGGATTACAGGTACGAGTCATTATACCCAGCTTCCATTCTATTTTGATTGTAAATGAACAAAAGGATTTTGTGTGTATGGACATTTTGCCTGCATGCATGTCTGTGCACCACATATGTGCCTGGTGCCTGTGGAAGCCAGAAAAGTGCACTGGATTCACTGGAACTGGAGTTAGAGACAGTTGTGAGCTGCCCTGTGGGTGCTGGGAAACTCTGGTCCCCTGGAAGAGCAGCAGGTTCTCTTAATCCCTGATCCATCTCTCCAGTCCTCCAACCCCACTTGATTTTAAAATTTGCATTTACTTATTTGGTTATATTTATATCTCACTTGTGTGTATGTATGATGTGTATACACATACATGTTTGTATGTGTGTAAGTGCTGGTGCATGTGTAGAGATCGGAGGGCAATCTTGGATGTTAGTCCTAACCTTTCACCTTGTTTGAGACAGGATCTCTTGTATGCCTCTGCTTATGCCAGGCTAGCCGGCCTATGAGCTTTGAGTTTGGGAGGTTCTGTTTTTTTCAGACAGAGTTTCCCTATGTAGACCAGTCTGGCCTGAATTTATAGGGATCTGACTGCCTCTGTCTCCTAGGTGCTGGGATTAAAGGCTTGTGCTAACATGCACAGCATTTTGGGTAATTGTGTCTCCACCTGAGTGCGCTGGGATTACAGACTTGTATACTCTGCATCTGGTGTGGATGCTGGGATCCAAACTCAGATCCTTTTACTTGTATGGCAAGCACTCTTCCCATTGAACATTCTCCCCAACTCCTCCTGTTTATTTGGGTTTTTTGTTTTGTTTTTCAAGACAAGGTTTCTATGTAACAGCCCTGGCTGTCCTGGAACTCACTCTGTAGACCAGGCTGGCCTCGAACTCACAGAGATCCACCTGGCTCTGCCTCCTGAGTGCTGGGATTAAAGGTGTGCACCACCACCCTCTGGCTATTTGTATTTTTTAAACTTTTATTCTCCTCTCATACATTACATCCCACCCATAGTTTCCCCTCCCTCCACTCTTCCCAGTTCCTCCCTCCACATCCGCTCTCCCCCAGATCAACTCCTCTTGTTTCTGATTTAAATAAGACTGGGCACAGACCCTCATATCATGGCTGGATGTGGCAGCTCAGTTTTTTTTTTTTTTTTTTTTTTAGAGACAAGGTCTTCTGTGTTGGTCAGGATTGTTTTGAACTCAAGGGGTCAAGTGATCCTCCTTCAAGTAGCTAGAACTACAGGTGCATAGCGTGTGTCCAGTGAGGTCAGTGCTTTTGAGAAGGGCACCACCCTCTTGCCAATTGCAGGCTGTGGCGGAACTCCACAAAGTAGCTGTGGAACATCTTGATTAGATACAGGAGTGAGCATGCTATGACGCCAGAGATGCTGAGGCTGGGGGTGAGCAGGGGCTGAATTGGGATCCCCTAGCATCCACCTGTGAATTTGAGAGAATCAGCTAAGTCTTCCTGGCCTCAGTTGTCTTCATGTGGTCATTAGGACGACAGTGGTAGCTACCTCAGGTGTAGTATGAGACTTGAGTAAGCTCACATGAGCAAAGTGCCTGGGACTGGCTGTGTGAAATGTAGGGTCACACAGGACCGACCCTACAGCGTTCAGTGTTCTGAGGTTGCTATCCTGAAATTTGAATCTAGGGCCCTCCGTTTTCTTTTTGCAGTGCACCCTCTGAGTCTGCCACTGGTGCACTGGGGTTACTGTCTGCCCCCTGTATGTGGCTACCTATTATTGCTTTGAAAAAGCAGAATCGTGATGTTTTGGGGTCACAAGGTCGGAGGGTGTGTACGCGTATTAAAGAGGCGGGAATGGCCTGTACAGGCCAGGGCTGGTATGCGAGAAGAGGCCACTTGGCCTGTAAGGGCTTCTCTCTTGCCCCTAGACGTTAAAGTCTTCTGCCTCTGGACTTGGGGTACTCACCATAGCTGGAGCCTTTGACAGTGCCATCTTCCCGGCCAGGTGGGCCTGCATAGCACCCAGCTTCTCCTTTTCCAGCTCCAGCTGTGGGGATGTCCACCAAAGTGAGCTCTCCACCTGGTCTTTCTCAGCCACACCTTTGGCTGCACTAAGGCCTTCCCTTGGAGTGCCGCCCCCTCCTTCTTTGCCCTCAGCCACCCCCCCTGCAGGCATTACCTGCTGTTCCAGAGACTGCACCACTTCTCGCTGCTGCAGGAGGCACTGCGCTTTGCCCTTCTCATCCAGGAGGTGATCTGCTTGGCAATGCCTGAGCAAGGAGAAGATTCCATGTAGCTGACCGTGCCGGCTCAGGCCTCCTGGCTTGGTGTTCCATTTAGGGACAGCCAAGACCCTTTGGGAGATTTCTCCTGAGAGTCAGTTTCTCTACACCCAACCAGAGCCCCATCTCTCTCTCTCTCTCTCTCTCTCTCTCTCTCTCTCTCTCTCTCTCTCTCTCTCTCTCCCATCTGGACCGCGGTAACAACACACTCTGGCTTCCAGGCCTGAGCTATCAGAAAGGTGGTGAGGGAGAACGGTACCTCAGGTGGTGGGCACAGCCTAGGCAATGGCCTGGCCGTACAGGGCCTGTGTCGTTGCCAAGAGTTAGGTGAGTAGTGAAATACAGAAGGGGAAGGGAGCAGATAGGAAGCCGAGGGGAAAGAGCCACAGCCATCTAGAGGGGCCGAAATGGGAGGCTCAGAAATGTGTGTTGCGTGGGGGGAAGCAGGGGGTGGGGTGGGGTGGGGGAGCAGTTGGGTTCATGGCCAACAGTCATCACACCTGTGTGCGCTTCATTGAGACTTAATTCTGTTTGGGCCTTAGTTCCTTTGTGTATACAATGGAACTAAGATAACTCTCAGCATATACCTTCATTATTATGTTTCGTCATAGAGGTGAGACAGCCTGGGCCTAGAGAAGCCCAGTAACTTGTCCACGATCACAGACCAGGGAGGGATGAAGTCTCAGCCTTCACCACTTTCTCCTTGTCATCCATCAAAAGGATTCTGAGTTGAGATATGCAGTCCAGACCTCTGCTCAGACACCAGAACCCCATGGGTAGAGTCAGGATACTCACTTAAGAAACTCTTCTGGCTCCTCGAAGACCTTCTCGCAACCAGGCCACTTGCAGACTCCGTTTACCAGCAGTGGGTAGGATCCTTGCGGGGCAGCCAGAAGGTTGCTAGGTTGGGGGTGAGAGAACCCAGGATATGAGCAGAGGGGTGGCCAGAGAGAACGGGGTCTTCCCAACACTGCCAACTTACTTATCTTTCCTGGGTGTCCCTGAGCGTGGGAAGGTGCAGAGTAGAGCCGGCTCCCTGGACACCCATTCCAGACTGGCTACGTTGATCCCTGTGGGCAGAGACCGTGTCCTTCTGGAGCTGCAAGCCAGGCCCTGCAGCTTGTCCCAGAAGGCTTCTCCGTTCCCTGAATCTTGAAGATTCTGACTCATAGGGCACTGCTGTTCCCACAGAGCAGGGCTTCCGACAGGGCAGCCTAAAGATGCCCACTGGCAAGTAGTGACATTTTGACGAATGGCAGCGATTTATGGTTTTTGACATTCTATGTCTTCAGGGTTCTAAGCCTGGGGGTTTTTGGAAGTTGGAGTTTTCATGACTCTTAAGACCCCTCTAGACCTCCATAGGGCTGCAATTCAGACAAGTTTACATGGTGTATGTTCGAAGATCTGAGGACTTGGAGATTCTGTGAAGCCATAGGGAGAAAGCTGAGGTGTTTACCAGGTGGCAGGCCAGGCCGGGCCTTGAGGGAGAAGACCCCAGTGGCAGCAGAAGGTGGTGGGAGGCTGATCATGGCCGGGTTGTCCAGCGGGCGCACTTGTAGCACAGGGGTCTGGGCATGGGCATCCACAGTGGAGAGCTGAGGAACAGACATGGGCCATGGCTCAGCCTGGCTCGGGCTCTGCCTCCCGGTTGTCCTGTTTGCTCCCTCTTCCCAGCCTGTTCAGATTCCATACCTGATGCATGAAGTGTGGTCTGTCCTGGAGAAGTGCCTGCAGGTGGGGTGAGGGGCCTAGTCGGGCTCCAGAGGGTGCCACCATGACCAGGGGTACTGTAGGCAGCTGGAAGGGGAGGCAGACGCCATGAGATGCTAGCCTCGTCGTCACAGTCCTGTGTCTCGTTCATCAGCTTTTCACTAAAGTTCCACGTGGTAGCAACTATTCACATAGCCAGTTCACACGTGGACTCTGGGGCTCATGGAGACACGACTCACCAGTATCCAACAGTTACAAGTGGTAGAGTTGGCCCCAACACGGTCACCTTACCTTTCTGGGCTCCAGCCATCTCCTCTTGTCACAGTGAGATGAAGACACATGGCTATGCCCAAGGGATCATAATAAGGTCTCCTTTTGGGACAAGGATTGGGAGGGTGGGGGAAGCCTCGAATCTCTGAGGCCTGGAGAGTGGGGATTTTCTTGGCCCTGCAACATCTGCATAAGTCATAGACTTGCCTGGGACCCATAAACCACTTCCTGTGCCCCAACCAGCCCCCCTCCTGCCACATGCCACAGTAAAGGTCGGCACCTATAGGCTCAGGTACCCCACCCTGCTTGCCCCATTCTGGGCCCCGGGCCTCACCTGCAGCTGTGATGGTGGCAGGGGGTTCAAGGAAGAAGTGTGAGCCCCACCTCGAAGGTCCCGGCCTTGGAAGGCTCCCCCAGGACCCCTGGTCCCTAGGAGCTCTGAGGCCTTGGGTGCAGTCTTCCAGCTTGGCAAGACTCCTGGGGATGGACCAAGGGCCAGGGAAGGGGCCACGGGCTTGGCTGGCCTGGGGTTGGGCATTGGGTTCTTGTCAGAGGCAGGCTGCAGGGACAACAGTGGAATGGAGTCACATGCGTTCCAGGGGTAGTGTAAGATGGTCATCCAATTGGACCATACACATAGCCTCTGGTCAGAGCAGATGTTGGCTAGGGCATGCCCCAAAGGGGCCCATAACTATACCCCAGCCCTTGTGTGTCTTACACACATACACCCTACCCTGATACGTGTGTATGTGTGTATCTATCTATCTATCTATCTATCTATCTATCTATCTATCTATCTATCTATCTATCTATCTATCTATATCACATATATGTATATCCCCCACATGTACATGTCCAGCACCTGACTTGTCTGCATGCACCACAGAGCCCTGTTGTGAATGTGGGGCAATGGGAGTTGGTTGGCGGGGCCTCAGCCTTCTGGTACTCCCTGCATTCTGTACAGGCTGCAATCTTTGCTGACTCTGCTGGGGCTCGTCTTAGGCTCTCTTCTCATTATTTTATTCCAGTGACTTGGGCATGAGCTCAAAGATTCAGCTGGAAGCTATGCGAGGGAAGGTTCCAGGGAACTAGTACTACTAGTGAGAAGTCTACAGCAATAGTGTAGGCAAGTGATGCTGCTGCTGCTGCTGCTAACGTGGATAATGGCCGAGGGAGCTGGGAAGAAATGGCTGGATACTAAGTCTCCTTTGAAGACAGAGTCGGGCAAAGTTGCTGGAAGCTTGGGTGTAGGAGATGAGAGAAAGGGTCAAGATGACTTCTGGGGTTGAGCATAAGCAGCTGTGGCAAAGTGGGCACTACCAGAGATGGAGGGTTGAGGAGCAGAGTTTGCGGTGGTAACACTCAGCCGTGGCTAGACGCAAAGGTAAGCATTAGATGCCTGGATAGACCTGCGGGCAGGGAACTGAATTCAAGACTGCAGAGCTCAGGGCCGCGGTGGGGGTTAGTCTTCTCTGGGCTTCTGTCCTGCACGGAGTTAGCATGGCAGGTGCCAGAAAAAAAAAAAGAGGGGTAGGATTTCTTGATCTAGGGCCTTTGGGTGCCCCCCAAATTAGCCTCACCCCTACTTGCCCCAATCTATGTTCCTCAAGGTTGGAATGCCTACACCATATCCTCTTCCCTTAGCCACACCTCAGTCTTTGGTGTTCCTCCTCAAAGCCCTGTGTGGTGACCCAGGCTTCTCTGCTGAGCCCCAGTACCTTACAGCCCCTGAGAGGCATGGTTTTTTTTTTTCCTTCAGGATCTTACAGTTCTAGTCAGAGAGGCAACCAGATCTTGAAGTGACTATATAATTCTACCCCCCCTTTTAAATTAAAGGGGTGCCCAGGTTCATAAGTCTATAGTCTTTCCATAGCCTTTTTGGACAGGGTCTCATTTAGCCTGGGCTGTCCTGGAACTCATTACATAGCTGTGTTGTTCTTGAACTGTTAGCCTCTGCTTTCTGAGTGCTGGGATTACAAGCCACCATTCCAGGCTGTTGTCTCCACATCTTCCTCTAGGAAGTCCGTGTCCGTGTCTACAGGTCAGAAACTCCCTGCTCTGTATATGTGTGCGCGTGTGTATGTCCTTCTCTAGTCTACATGGGTTGGGCAGACGGCTTCTGAAAACAGCCAGGGAGCACAGAAGTGTTCTGGAAGGCAGTTTCTTCTTTGCTGTCATGTCATGGGGATCATCAGAACTGTGGTCCTGACAGAGACTGGTGTGCGTTTAATACCTGGGTATTAAAACTGTAGTGTCTCAGGGGTTAAACCGTTAGCGTGAGAACCAGGGGTCTGGGTCTGTGGAGGCTGAGGACACGGGCTTCATACAACAGTGATGAGAAGAGGAGGTGAAAGACTGAATGAAGGCAGGCAGCCACGAGGTGATGCTTCTCCAAGGCAAAGGGCAGCAAAGAAAACAATCAGAAACTAGGAGAAGGCCAGGAAGAGATTATAAAAGGAGCCAACCCTGCTGACATCTTGATCTTGGTCTTCTAGCCTCCAGAACTGTGACACAATAAACTATGCTGTATAAGTCACCCAGTTTGTGATACTTCATTATAGCAGTCCAAGCAAACATGTATCAAGTTCGGTGAGTAGAATTTTCCACCATAATGGCTTAGCCCTCATGGGCGGACCATGGTCACTTTTGAAGCAGTCTAGATATTTGGCCAGAACTTATAAGAAATCTCCCTAAATACATCTGGAACTGACTCTGGGAAGCATCAGTACATTCTCAGAAAGGGGACCCAAATTGGATATGGTCTGTCTGGTGGCAGTAGGGACCTAGAGGGCTGGGCTGGCCAGCCAGCTTCCTGCACTGTCTGTTGGGGCGTCCCTTTTTGACTGTTTCTCAGAAGCTGTATGGAGGTTGTTTCTGGGACATAGAATATGTTTTCCTATCGGGGTCTACATCTGGGCCCTGTTGTCACAACCCCAACTTGGCCAGATTTTTCTGCCATTGACGTCATGGCGGCCGGATGCACCGGGCTTCATCGGCAACAGAGAGGAAGAGAAGGGGGCAGACAACCCACCCCACAGGTTTCGTTCCGAGAACTGCCTGGTCCATCCCATAGCCGGATAGGCCCAGGTAGGGTGATGTGGGTGCTAGCGGATGTGGTAGGTGACGTCCATCTGGCCACCATGCAAACCCCAAGTTCTGTAGATCCTGTATTTCTTGGATGTCAGAGAGGCCCAAGGTTGGACGCTTGGTGGGTGTTAGGCAGGCCTCATGGATATTGGGACCCGTTGGGTCTTCAAATGGTAGAGTAACCGAAACTTAGAACTATAGGGTCTCATTTCTTAGAGCCAATGGATTTCAGGATATTAGGAATACAAACTTTGTAGGGTGCATGGATTCACCTCACTGTGTAGATCCCTGTCCCAGAGTCCAAAGAAATGGGAACCACCTAAAGGCTAGGAAGCCCAAAACTCTATAAGGCCTCTTGCTGGGCCTGGAATGTCAGCAAGTTCTCCTCAGCTTCCTCCCCGAGCTCCCTAAAGGCAGAGAATTGGAAGGACCCTCTTCTGCCCTGATCTGCAGGACAGGCTTTGCCCTCCTTTCTAATTTGGGACAGTAACAGGGGCCACTTGCCAAAGTTAGTACATATAAAATGCTGAGCAAAATGTCTCGCTGATAAATGGACACTTACATATGGCTCCTCCAGCCCCCTATCCTGGGACAGCATTCCCCAAATCATAACATTCTGCCAGAGATAGGGGCAAGAGGAAGACATTTGGCCTGGGACTCATGGAAAGAGCACACCACCAGGCTCTTTGGAAAGACCTCAGAATAGTGATCTCCAGGAATCTAGCACCAACTCTGAGGACACATTCTTACTGATATCCCTTCATCATTACTATTCTCTGGTCAGCTAGGGCTTCTGACTCATGGGGCCCGGGGTCTTACATAGGCCAGAGTTTCTGAGGCTTGGCCTCATTCCATGATTATGGATCATCTTGCTGAAATCTGGATCCAATTTTTGAGAAGGCAGAAAGGGGGACTGACATCTCAAGTCTCCTGGGTACTGTGGGGGTAAACTGAGGCCACAATGGGGGATGGTCAGAGGCAAGGTCCCACTGAGAATTCTGAGATCTGATCTTGAGTTTAACTGACACAACATCTCTGTGAGGCCTGGAAAGAGTATGGGATGGAGGAAGGCCAGGGTCTTTCTGTCCTGTCATCCACCCACCCACCCATCCATGCATGCATCCATCCATCCATGCATCCATCCATCATGTGTGTTTGTGTGTGCCCATATGTGTATGAACAAAGACATGGGGAAACAGACACGGAAGAAGAGATACAGGTGGAGAGAGAGAGATAGAGATATAGAGTGAGGGACATGAGATGGAACAGAAATAGATCACAGAGATGTGAGAGCTATTTAGAGAAACAGTGATGGAGAAATAATGAGAAAAAGAGTGAAAGAAACAGAGAGATAGAGAGAGGATTGACTCAAATAATCACTGGCCTCTGGCCGCTAGCTGCCAGAGACATCCATGGCTGGTATTGAATTGTTTTGCAAAGCAACATCAGAAAAGCAGTATTGGTCTTGTACAAGGACAACTACTAAGGACCAGAGCAGAGTAGAAAGCTTTGGCCATAGACTTATGCATGCAGAGAATGGGATTTGTGATGAATGCAATGTTTCAACATGAGGGATCGTGCAGGCTAGGTTAACAAATGCTTCTGAGACAGGAGAAAGTCAAGTGACTGGATAGAATGATCAGTCCACTTTCCCACCAGCAGCTCTCTGCCCACTTGAAATGTCTCCAGCATCACAGGCTCTAGAATAATTTCCAGATCCCCCGAAGACATACATTTTAATGCCTGTCATTGTGTGTTCAGCCTTGTGCTAAGCACCTAGCATGATTAATAGATCCAATCCCCAGAAAGAGCCTTTGAGGTAGGTACTAATATAACCATCACAGTACATACGAGGAAATGGAGGGACAGAGAGGTTGAGTGATGGTTAAAATTCACATAGATGACTTGAGGTGAGGCTAGGTTGTTCCAGACAGTCTGGCTCCAGTACCCACACTTTTGACCTCTGTAGTAAATGGAAAAAATGAAGCCATAAAGGAGACTGGAAGCCAATATGGGGTGAACAACTATCTCATTTTCAAGTGGCAAAATACTTTTAAAGCACAAAGCCATAGACAGAAGCCACATGAGAAAAGAGTAGTCTGAATACATAAAACACATGTGCATTACAAAGCACAATAAGTAGGAAAAAAAGCAGATGACAGTCAGGTATAGTGACGTGTGCCTTTAATCCAAGCACCCGTGAGACAGTGGCAGATGGCTGGGTCTCTGTGAATGTGAGGTCAGCCTGGTCTACACAGTGAGTTCTCTAGGCCAGCCAGGGCTATACAGTGAGACCCTGTCTCAAAACAAAAACAATAGAAAAGCACACAAATGGAGCTGGAAAGATGGCTCACTGGTTAAGAACAATGGTTGCTCTTCCCGAGGAGGTGGCTTCAATTCCCAGCATCCATGTGGCAAATCACAAACATCTGTAACTCTAGTCCCATGGGATCCCACACCCTCTTCT